TTGCATCAGATTTTAATTGCGTATGCAGCTATCTAGCTATGACACAATATCAAAGAAAAGTACAGAAAATATGACTCAATTTACAAGAGGAGCACTCCGGCAAAGTCGAATTCTTCACTTTCCAGTGGTGCCGGTGTAATCGCTCAATATCCTCTGCATATCTGGGATAGCCAAGGAGAATCGCATCCGAATCGAAGTCGAAAGCAATCACATTCATATCTCCATCTGACGTCTTCTCAGCCATACAGAACTCACCATTATCTTCTGAGTCCTCAACCCCGATCTAACCACATATCATCTCGCCTCGCCGACCGATAAAGGCATCACCCCAATTGCAAACAGGAGCCTGCCTCATTCATCACCGGCCTTCACTCACTACAAATTTACGACGCTACATATACCCGCAAGGAAGAAATCAAGTCATAATATACAAAGCCCGGGTCTTGGTTTAGGGGGCACTGCTGCTCCAATGGGATTATACATCTTGAGGAAGGACCGGCGGTTGAGAAGTGCAACGAGGGGTGAATAGGTCTCTGAAGAGCATGCTGGGACTGACATTTTCGAGGAGATTTCAACTTTGGATTTTTTGTGGGCGCCAAGACCGAGAATTCGGCTAACTAGCCAGGAGGGCTCCTATTGTCGATGAGTCAACGGCACTCCCCAGCGCCCTGGACGGCAAAAAAGAAGCTAGGCTAAGCTACTATACAGCAATCACGCTCTGTCAAGACTTTTCTGACATTTCAGCACGACCTTCGGGAAGGAGTCGGAAGGAGGCTAGAAAGGCAGAGGGTGAATTCTCCGAGATACCCACAAGTCTGCAGCTCCAAGCTAGCCGGACTCTTCGAACGCTTCGGAAGGGTCACTGTGTCTTCGTATATAGTCCTAATGTCGGTATTAGAAGAGCTCCGCACCCAGTGGTTTTGCGATTTTTCCCGGCTGCCATACACCTGCAAACGGCCATCGTTTCGTTGGCTGGAGAGGGAAGATAATGTAGGGCAAAGGGCCCTTCTAAGTGTATGATTGAATGAGGACTTGTGAGGGGTGGTACTGTTTGATTGGAGCTGTATGGGAGGCATGGGAAGGGATATACTACTGGCATAGGTATCCTTGGCCTTTAGGTAGAGAGGACCTGCATGTCCTACATAGTCATAGACTCAGTCAGGACAATAAAATGAATTAATAATACAAGAGGAGCACTCATGCCACAGATTTCATTTGCAAGTACCACTGCGAAGTTATGGTGGCTTTTTCTTCACCCCAAGTCAACCCTCATCTGTGAATACTCACCCAGGGGAACGTCTCAAAAACCCTGAGTTATCCAGACATGCCTCCATCATCTTTCAACTTTTCTCCACGCGAAATATGGTCTTAGGCGTCTTCTTCCCAAGTGGAGTAGGTGCCCAGGCTACTCAAACTATACCAGAGAACATCACCAGGAGGCGGACCACAACACCTTCCTGTTGTAATTAAGGCAGCAACATGACTACAGTAGACAAGTAGTACATATTAGAATAATATGCATTGGCGCCATGAGATATGATTAACCCATATCATCACTCACTGGCATGAATAGTAATTAGCCAATAGATGCCTGACAGCATACATTGGCTTCAGGACCTCCAACAACCTTCCTGTTTAGGTTAGATTAGGAAGTATGTTGGAGTTCACACTAGTGTGCGGAAAACCCCGCTTTCATGTATATAGAGGGACTTCTCGCCACACATATAGAATTATAGCAATTTAACCACAATTAACTATCCATTAAACATCATTAGACTTCGTCGAACATGAAACAAAATCATCATAACTCTAACTCATCCTCATACTTGGTATGTCATTCTTACAATTTCCGGAACCATTTCAATTCTTCCATCGTCGGCTTGTGTTGTGATATACAATATGGATGGGCGTGTGTAAGCAATGAGACATTACGTGAACTAAACCAAGTGTGGCTAGCAAGGCACGGCGAGGGATCAGCCGAGGCTCGTGCGTATGGTCTTAGGAACACTTCTTTTGTAGAGATAAATCAGGCCGCTTCATCCCTTTTACATACACATAGATGTACATATAGATTCTAATCAATTTAATCTCCACACCTTGCTCTACCCTCAGCTCCGCAGACTAATAAGCTCCAAATTCCAAGACGTCGTACATAATCTCATAACCATAACAGCTTGTTTTTATAGTGTCAGCTGCGATCTCGCAAGCGAAGTCTTGGCGCGCACGAAGCTCAATTCGTAAAACTCTTGCCAAGATTCAAAATTTCACGCCCGTCGAAAACGTATCCCTCTTCTGCATCATCTTGTAAACTTGTCCTGATCCCTCTCACGTCCATCCTAAAGAGCTATCTCCCATATTTGTGCTCCACGCTTTGCTTCCTCCGTCGGGTATAAATATCGGCGTGTGCGTGTATTTGGTGACCGGCTGAGGCCAGAGAAAGTCGACGAGAGGCGTGGTCATTGAAACGAGGATGCACTAGGTCGTACTTGTAGACTTAATGAAGCTTAGTTGAGAATGGGGCTCCTTGGGAGTGAAAGATTGACATGGTGGAGTATTTTGAATCATCGCCTCGTGGGCCAACTTCTTTGATTTTGCGAAATTCGACTGAACTTGGCTCTGGGAGAATATTTCACTCCCAGGTTCGTAGAGGACGGCGCGTACAGGTGTTCAGTTTTGCCTTCCCGAAATAATATTGTAGGTAGCGAAGAGTCTTGTATAGATGGTCAACCCGTGCCATGCCCTCTGCGTGCTAGGGTAGTACCCGGTTACGATAAAAATATCATGATCATGGTGCGAATGGTAGATGCAATCTTGGAAGGGGTTATTTTTAATTTTTTCTATAAGATTTTCAAACTGAGCGTTATGCGTTACACGACTTCGATTGCGAGAGTGCAGGCGACGCTATAAATACCGTCATGGTTAGATGTTGTGGTGTGACATCATCTTGGCCGGTCTCCGAAGTAGATTCTGGATAGCTTGGACACATATTACACTCGAGGCAGGAGATCGCTGGTTGGAACCCGGTAAAGTGCAATCACCTTTAATGCGGCACTGGTATACATGGATAATCAAAGGTTTTGAATTTCCCTTTGGTGGGTACTTATGGAGGAGGCTCGACTATTTGTGTAAGCAAACATACCTCATGGTGGTACTTGTAAATGAAATCCAGAGTATGACTTTCTCTAACACCAAAAGAGTCATACAACATGTCTACATGGAATTGACCATACGCTATGGCTGAGTGCACACCTAATGATTTTAATAGTCTCTATCTAGGCTAAAACCTTGTCAAGTTGTGACACCAGGCTACATATACTGGTGCTCCTGGTTGACGCTGGGTAGGATCATTTTTCAGGCAATTTTCCCAGCGTCTCTGGCGTAGAAGATAATTTATAAATCGATGGAAAACTCAGGTGGTGGGATGTATTCACTAGTATCACTTAACTCGCTGTCCCCTGCTATTTTCATCCTCTCCAAGACTATGCACACCTACATGATAGAAATCCGACTTGCTTTGTGTTGGAAATGGAGACGCGGAGTGTTGTGGACGTACGGGTCCTGCATTTCGTCTAGGTTCCCAACATGATCTCGTGTGTATTTAAGAGGTTGGAGTAGGTAATATGGTAGCGCATCAGGCTACCTATTGGATATATGAGCGGCTGTATGGTGTGGGCGCAAGGAGGTTATTGGGGGTTTTCTATGTCTAGATGGCGCCACACTTGTTTATGCTGTGGCCTAGGCTACGTGTCGCTTACACTTGTACTTGTAGCGCACATTTCCCTCAGTTTTAGCCGTAATCCGAATATGGCACTCTTTTAGTCACCTTCTACTTTCGTTCCATGAATATTGCGCTCATTTCATTGCGCAAATTTTCCAACACTGTGACTAACCTGCAGCGCTTGAATCATCTGTTTTCACGAAAGAGCGCCTGGAAAGGAGTTAGACCTTACTGGATTTGAACATGCCATCTTCCAATCTTGAGAGGGATGGGTATCCAAGTTATCCAGAATCTGGTTGACAAACAAGTCTGGATGATATAACACTGCAACATGTAGCCAAACATGAAAATTTCACCCTTTTCTAGATTATATCTATATTGAGCGTTATGCTATCACTGCATCTCAGTATTTCTCATGACAATTCCAAAAATCTGCCTTCAAAGTTCTTGCACCACAATTTTTGTCATCCTACGGATATTATTATCGTCACGGGCGTGTATTTGGAGCCCAGCTAGGTTCAGAGACTCATTTTACGAGGGATACAGTCATTCAATTTTCAAAGCACTGGTTTGTACTTGTGGACTTGTTGAGACTTTGGAAGACACCGTTCTTGTATGGAGGGCAAAATGTATGTAGCGAATAATCTAAATTACTACTCTGTTGGCTCACATTTTCGTCTCTGCAAAATTTGGTTGAGGTTGACTCCAAAATTGATCTATGTCCAGGTTCGCAGAAGACACCTATCAGTTGTGTCCAGACTTGTTCCTCTGATGTTGGACTCGCAGCTTGTATAATAATAATTTTTTGATGAATTTGTTTCCACAATATTAGCCAGTTTCGTATTAAATTATGACAGACTCTCTATGGATCCACTTACAGTATTGAACTACGAAATAGGCATAGGGTACCAACATTAGCGATAGGTGCCTGAGGCATTATGAACATATATATATCTCGATTCAACACCTCTCACCTCTGACCTCACGTAAACAGTAATGATAGTTACGATGAAATAAATTGACATGCCAACACAGTACGTAAGCACAACCTTTTAATTGAAATGAAATTGCGTGATGATATCTTATTGGAGCTGTCATAATAAAATTGATGAAACAAATATATTTACGCAACTTAAACAATATCTGAAAACACTCACATACACAGTGTTCTTATTGTATCATCTGTGGCTATAACTAATACCTTGATTAGAACAGATACTTAATTATTTTGATTTTTGCAATGCTGTTTTAATATTCGGATTGGGATTTGGCAATTAAAGCAATGGCTCAAGCTCAATTGCCTGCCACAAATGGCAGCTCACTAACCCATCGAGATAAACGAGATCCCGATTCATTCAAGCTAAAGTTTTGCACCGTTTGCGCAAGCAACCAGAACAGGTGTGACTAAACTTCTACTACTGTTACCTAAACTCTAACTCTTACCCAAAACAGGTCGATGGAATCGCACTTGAGACTTGCATCCGCCAATTATCCAGTCATATCGTTTGGAACTGGATCGTTGGTTCGTCTCCCTGGACCTTCCATCACACAACCAAATGTCTATCAATTCAACAAGACATCGTATGACAGCATGTACAAAGAACTTGAAGCCAAAGATCCTCGCCTGTATCGTGCTAATGGTCTGCTTAATATGCTTGATAGAAACCGAAATGTCAAGTGGGGTCCAGAGAGATGGCAAGATTGGCAAGTGGGTGTTCCCAGACTTGAGCATTCTAAAGATCGCGGAAGTGAGGGGATTGAGGGAGGGGTCGTGGATATAGTCATAACCTGCGAGGAGAGATGTTGGGATGCCGTAGTTGATGACCTACTTGCTCGCGGCTCTCCTCTCAATCGACCCGTACATGTTATAAATGTGGATATCAAAGATAACCACGAGGAGGCACTTGTTGGCGGTCGAGGAATTCTGGACCTCGCTGACTCACTCAACGAAGCTGCTATCAAAGAACGAACGTTAAACCCGACTGGATTTGATACCGGAAACCCGTCAAGTAGGTCTGGATTTGACGAGCTTGTCCCTACAATTATCGGTGAGTGGCAAGAAAGATGGCCTAACCTACCGGCTGTATGGACTTTAGCCTGGTTTTAAATAGGCTGGTACCCCCTTAGCTCGTAAATGCCTCTGTGAACCACAACTAGCGTCTTGTATTGACGTTCTCACGAAGGTAAAAGTTGCACATTAGCAACCGTAACACAAAAATCATCGAGTCAAGATTCTCCCGAGTAGCAAAAGCGATACGCAATCTGGTCATCATCTTTCGCAAATCGAATTGACAGTACATTGAGAGTTAGCTGCAAACTTTGCAAGTGCCAGGGACAACCAAATTCTTCTACCTTAAAACTTGACAAGGTAATCAACGACCGGATAAAGTAGGAGTGTATTCTCAACTGAGGCCCAATGATAAGTGCCGGCCTTTTGCGAGGCAAAAACTTTGAGTAATTACTACTCCTTGGCACTTGCTTCCTATCATCCATCTAAGTACTCAACCGCAAGAAGGCTCAAGCGCACGCTTTATCTAAAGGATCGTTGAAGATTTTACTTTTGTTTCACGAATAGGAAGGCAGTATACTCTGGATTCGCTTCACAGTTGTCATTAAGGGACCATGTTAATTCCATAGAATATTTTAATTCCTTACATGACACAAACATTACGTTCGACCAAAATTTATTTTGACAATATGATTTTTAAAGGTTATAAATCCTTCACCCGGTAATTTTATCGTCGAGGATAGATTGTGATTCGTAATTATCGCCATTCATCAGACCAAAAACTGGGCTTGTTGATTTGTGGTTAGATTTTCACGTTTAATTTAAATTTGCACGAATTGTTATCGCTGCCTTGGTCGCTAGAAGCGAAAGGTAAAAATTGTAAGATAAGTAATGTAGATTATTGATTAATGCAGGTTGTTGCTGTAAATGAAAAAAAAAGGTTTCAGTGTAGACACTAGAGGAATGTTTAGGGGGGAACCACTGGGAGGGCATAGAAGGCATCACATCTCTAAAGTCATGGATATTCCCAATCTACAGGTGTAAAGGACTAGTATTTCCTTCCAAATTTAGAGGCTTAATATAATATTAATAAACATTTAGAAGACAAGGTACTAGACAACGGGTACCCCAGTCAGCAGCATGATTCACACAGCCCCACAGAGTAAGATATTCGCGAAGGACCTAGAAGCATTCTATGAAGGTAAAGAGCTTAACGAGCAACAGACAGTCTTAGCGGATATGTGTATTATTCGATCTCGAATTTTGTTAACTGCCTGAAATTTGAACACTGCAGTTGTCCAGTAACAGTAATTTCCACAGCTACTTTTGCACATTCCACCACCACTGTAATGAAGTATTCTTAATGTTACAGAGGGTCTTCATCTAAAATACAACAGGATCAATCGACAGGAACTTTGGAATTGATTCATGGGCAATCGACTAATGATAGGATTCGCAAGGGATGCTCACATAAGCAGTCATTGGCATTCCTGAATTTCTATAAGGTCTTGACATGGTATATAGAAGTGCCCAGTGGCCAAGCAGTCTGACACAATCTGAAAAATAGACACAAACTAGATGTTCCATTGTTCATTCCTCGTCGCACTAAGCGACACGTATGAATACGCAAATCAGGTAAAACGCTAATTTATGCGATGTAAAGTAATCCCGTTAATTATGTTATTCCCGTAGCCCAGTTAGGATATTTTGGATGATAGTCACTTTCAAAGTGATGTTACAGTCATAGATAGACGACAGAAAGGATTTAATTCCTCGCCATCTGATTTCGACCTGAACTTAGCAAATAATGTGATAACACTGAACCATTGTATCGCGTACACCACCAAAGCTATTACGATGTTAGTGGCTCCAACTATTGGAGCTTGAGTTCTTTTCCACATCCTTACCCGAGGAGCGAGGGGCTTCTATGCTTATTTTAATATTCATCGTCATTCCCATATTATCTCCAGCCTCCACTACTTATTAGACCTTTCCATATCGTCTGGTGACATTCATCCTTTACACTCCTGCGCATGCTCCACTTTGAATTCGCTAACCCCTAACTGTTTCGAATACCCAGGCGTAGAGCTAACATTTTGTCTTGTTTCGTAGTTTAAAATCAACGAGGCCTAAATTGCGCTAACTACTGAGACGGGACATTACCTCGGAAATTATCGCTAGACGCTGCGGAAGCCGCGGAGCTGAGGTTTACATCAGGTCAAAACTCCGCAAAAATAAACTGGAAGCCTACGGTATACAGGAAGCCAAGGAGGAATAATTTAGTGGGAAAAGAATGAATGGTGGGAATGGCCCCTTGTCGCCTATTTCTCTTGGAGACGACGAATGGATGAGCATGTCAAAGTACCAAACGTTCGAAACAGAGTCTGTGTATCAGTACAACCGTGGCCAACTAGCATCTCCGCCTATGTCGAGCGGCTCTGGCACCATGAATGGAGGGTTTCGTTACAGAGAATCTCCTAAGTTCAATGTAAACTCAGGACCTTCACCGCCTAGCTCGATTGCGCGATCGAGCCTTGGGACTGGAATAAATGCGCAAACAGAGAGCGGTATGATCAAGAAAGAAGAGCAATTTGAGGGTGTTCTCTCCGATCATTATCTCGCTCTTGAACGGTACTTGTCAGCATCTTTAAACGACGAAAAGGGCAATCCAAGGCCCAATCGGGCCCGTGACAAATTGCTGCGACTATCGCCTGTTCAGTTTCTAGAATTAAGTACTGATGTTTATGATGAGCTATTACGAAGGCAGCAAAATGGAAAAAGAGCAAGGAACGCAGGCAACCTACCGCCATACCTATTACCCAAAGATACATTTCACCCCAAACGCAATCAGGCGCGGCAGAAATTATCGACCCTACCATCCCCTAGGTTCAGAGATCTTGCGACCGATGTTTTTTATGAACTTGAACGCAGGCTTCCAAAAATTGCTACTGACATCAATCGAGCAGGTAGTCCAGCTATTTCAGTGCGAGGAATGCCCAGTCGAATGAACACACCAGTGAACGGCAATGATTTTCGCCGGCCTTCTGATGCAAGTTCAATCGCACAATCCATGAATGAATCACGTATTGGATTTAGATCTCCTACTGAGATTCCCCCATCTCCTGGCATTCGGAACAGCGAAATAAGAAGACCTACTCCAAAGACTTTTCTTAGCAACACAATTATACCTATCAAAAGCACTATGGTTGAAGATGATGAAACTGGTGGAGAGGATGCTGAAGAGGAGGATGGTGATGCATTTGGTCTAGAGAATGCAGCACGCATGACAGGTGATGCTGAAGAGGTATGAATTGTCGTATTATATTATTCTGTGGCTAATTTCTACATAGGCAAGTAAAAAGCGAAGTGAAGATACACAACTAAAAAAGTCAAAGAACCTCCTTGATGCTTTGGAATTGAAACTAAAGGAAAAAGATGATGAAATCAGTAATCTTCTGCAGCGCGAAACAGCGAGAGACAATGAGATAGATGCTTTCAAGCAGGATTTCGAAAGTTTGAAGTTAGAGCTAGAGTCCAAGCTTGCCGATGCACAGAACTTGAACGAATCACTACAATCTGAGCTGGATCGAGTTAAGGCCAGCCATGCAACCACCGAAAGAAATCTCCAGGAACAAGTAAAAGAGTTGCAGCTTTCCGAATTAAGAGCAAAAAAGATGGAGACCAGCATTGATTTGGAGCGAGAAAACTCAGAATTGAAGAAGGAAATTGGGGAGCAGCAGCTTATAGCTGAACAAGTTTCAATGCAGGCTCAGGATTTCTTGAGAGAGATGCGGACTCTATCAAACCGTAGTGAATCTTTGTATAAGAGAGAAGATCAACTTTTAAAAACAATCGGAACGTTGGAAGAAGAGGTAAAGATTTGGAAAAATAGATATGCTAAGACGAAAGCACAATTGAAGACCTCAAAAGTATCTTCAATAGGTTTAAATGTGCTGCAAGATGCAGCTAAAGAAGCCAATAGCAAATTTCTTGAATCCGATGGCATGGTGAGGGATATCAACGTTACAAAGTTCCAGATCTCTATCGACGAGCTGTTGAATGTAGCTCGATCCGAACAACCTACCAGGGTAATGGAATGCATGAAGACCATAGTTTTTAGTGTACGAGACATCATCCAAGATGTAGCCGACTCATCCGATTCCAACGAAGAACTTCCTGCCAATTTGACCAGACTAAAAGTTAATATATCAGGAACTGCAAAAAATTTGATTACGGCCTCAAAAAACTTTGCTGGAGCAAATGGGTTCTCTCCTGTATCACTAGTTGATGCTGCGGCTTCTAATCTGACATCGGCTGTCGTTGAGTTTCTTCGAGTCGTCAAGATTCGATCAACGCACGTAAACAATTATAAAGATAGTGAAGATGAAGTAGTAACAACAACAAAGACTGCTCCAATAGCTGCTCCAACAGATATTGGTGGCTTATATCCTATGCGCGAACTAGAAGTAGGGACACCCAGCTCATCAAACCAAGCCCCTAGCAACGCAAGAACTAGTGGTAATTCCTCTATTTATTCTCCCTTCGCTTCTCCACGAGAATTAATTTCGCAAGAATCATCCCCTAGACAACCAATAAGCCCCAGTAATGAGTCTTGGTCAGGGCAGGTTCAGTCCTTATCGCGAATCGCATCTACTAACTTTGACCCAATGAGTCCGCCGCCACTTAAAGTCAATCTCGGAATACCATCCAAAGAAAGTGAAATTGAAGAGTTCAAGGTTTGTAACCCAGGATTTAATTTAGTGGAAAATAATTGACGCTGGGAATAGATTTATCTTGAGGACCAAACAGCCCTGCTCGTGCAAAATATCCAATCTCTTGTTACGGCTATCCGCTCCGAATCTGGGATCACTGCGACGGGGAATAGCATCAACACCATTTCAGAAGTAGTAGGTGCAGTTGTCTCCCACGCGGAAAGTAAGATATTTGCCACGGGAAATTCAGAGTTGCGCACTCGGGGTGAACAGATTATTAAAAAATTGGCGGCTTCTCAGAAACGTTTGATCGAATCTGGTGAAATTGGACGCCAAATAGCTGAAGAAGGCCGAGACGATGACGAAGGAGAGAGGGCATGGAGGGTTTGGAACCAAAGTTTGCCGCCCATAGCATTCGAAATTGCTCGAGAGGTAAAAGACCTTGTGCTTCAAGTCGACAGGGTTGACCTTGCGCTAAACGATGCCTCTAACGACGAGGACTTCTCATAGTTTTGGCTCATACTACGCAGTCTCCGCAAACGAGAGGCTTGTAGATGACTCTGGATTCCGAAACCGGATACAAATATCTCCTTCTACTTCCTCAACCTTAGCATGAGTGAGGGCCACGCACCTCGACATGACTACGGTTTTGAGACTTGCAACTATATAAATATTACATTGTATAATTAGACACGAGCGAATGAATTTCGGTAGCGCTGGTATGAGCTTAATGGTTGTTTGGTTGGCTGGATGATCTCTTGCTTGTACATTGCTTCATTACATTTGTATTTGAACAGTTATATAGGTATTTTCTATGTTCGAGAAGAAGTTACAGGGTACTTGAGTATGATCGAACTTACCCATCACTTAACCCCTTTGGTGCTAGGGCCTCAAGCTAGAAGCATAAATCTACTATAGATATATGATTATTATTAATAATGATAGAAATCTGTGTCTAAATTCATCAATCGATCTGTGCATTCGCGCTCCGTTTGGCTACCATGTTCAAGGCTGTTCGAGAAAATGCCGTAGTCTAGGTAGCCAGTAATTTCTGTAGAGGCCGAGGAAACGCGTGAGCCGACCTAACTGGTCAACAGTACTCCTATTACATATATATGTTATTGCTATTTATCAGAGTGTGACCACATAAGATGTGTTGGGATTTTCTGCATGGCGCCTAGAGAAATCTGTCTCTGTTGCGGCTACGGCTGGAAGTGCGACTCCTTGAGTCTCCACTTGCCGTCCAGCAATGCATGTATAAGCGCTCGTTATGCTCTGTAAATCTGGAATAGCTAGGAAGTATCGAATCATCCCAAATTAGTCTCGCTATCTGTATCGTTTGAACCTTTCGGCATAAACCCCCTGGTACTATTATCATGAAGCTAACAACGATCAGATCTAATGGTAGAGACATAGCCCTACTCATAACCCACCCTCGATCATAGAGAAGCCAGCACATTAGCTTCCTGAACATGCCCAGCTCCTGATACAGCGATGGTAGATTGGATCAAGTTGGCCTCTTATGTTACAGGAGGAAGATATAGATGGATATATGCACCTCGTATGGGCCCGGTGTCTAGGCCCCGCCTGGCTGGACCTGCAGGTTTTTGAGATCTTTCCCGCGCACGCTGTTGCCACTGCTATCATTATTTTTGGGTAGAAGATTCCGCGGAAAACGAGGCTGAATTCCACGGATAATCACCGGGCTAAACGGCTATTAATCATAGATTTTAGATTAGAAATGTCACTTTCGGTATGAAAGAGGATAGGAGCGCTCTCAGAGGTGTGGCTAAGGCCAAAGAGGAGTCTAGTATGCGCGATAGTTGCACTCAATCGGCACAACATATACCAAGTCGACCGTTCATATTATGGCTTGGACTCCTTAAACTTGTAGCGCACAACACCCATTGTTTAAGCTGCAGCAACCCGAACAGGACGCTTATTCAGCCGGCTCCTCTTTTCGTTACGGCAGTATCGCGTCCATTCCAGTGCGCAGCATTTCCAACTGCTTTACCCCTCATTACCTCCCCTCCCCCAAACACAAAAGAAGACTATTTGTAGGCGCACGGCAGCTGGTACATTGCTAAAACGTTTGGCCCAGAGCTCCTCGGCTGCCGACATCAAGACCTACTCCAAAGATGCAGCTGCCATTTTGAGGCATATGGAGAGCTCGGCCAGCTGGGCGCTGTAGACTTGATGTTATCAATCGTTAGGTTGCATATCAAGTATCTTCATAAATCGCATTTGTTATTAGCAGCACATATTAGGTACCCACAGACACCATTTGGCCACAGTGAAACGCACTTAGTATCCATCGCGCCACATCCGCGACTCGCCACTGCAAATGAGCCCGTGCAGTTCCCCCCAAAGGACAGCAGAGCCATCCAATTGCCATATACCTCTTAGCTTATGACCACAGCATTTAAAATTGTGTGTACCCAAATGTAACTACTCTTTTCCCTTCAACCTCGTTCAAATACTGTTTGGATCCATAGTAGCCTATGGTACGTAGATACCTTGGGCAGTTAGGTTAAGCGTGGCGTGCACGGACACCTACGTGAATACTGATATGGATCCCTCATCATGTAGATAGCATAGAGACAACCAATATACAACCATTTTACACCAGTATTCAAGCATATGCTAAGGGGAATATTCTCAACACCTGTCAGTGGTGTCACCTACGAACCTCCAGCTCTCACTATAGAGTCTGCAGATCCGAGATTGAGCAATACCTTATCAATTTTGAACCGAGTTATCTCCCCCTCCGTCAAAGATACGCTTCCGATAACACATATGACGATCAAGACAATGATAATGATGCTGGGAATGAGGAAAGATAATGCGACACTAAACGCTACAACGGTAGTCAGAGAAGCCCTCGTTATATCACAACATGTGCTACCCACCGGCGGGCGAACAAAAAGCCCACGAAAGCAAAGTAAAAGATCCTTCCGCCCTCAAGAAAAGCAGATTTCGACTCGTCAATCATATCGTCCCTACTAATCTTATCTTCCGAATCTACTAGCCAGGAGGGCATCTGAAATACATGAGTTACTCGACAACCCACGTTCGTAACGACTTTTGGATGCTAGGCTAGGTTCCTTCACGATAGTCACTCTCGACCAAGACTTTTCTGACACCCTTTCACGACCTTTGGTTTGTCCTGCGGCATGAATCAAGGGAGGAGTAAGGAGGAGTAAGGAGGAGGCTAGGATGGTTGAGAGACGCTATTAGATATACACAGGTCTGCTGCGCCCGGCTGACCAGCCTCTTCATCATAGGAGAGCCCCGCACTCAGTGGTTCTTTTTGAGACTTTTCCCAGCAGCTACACACCCGAAAATGGCCATCCATCGCCGGTAGACTCTAGGACTTGGAAAGTAGTAAATATTATTGAAAGGCTATGCTGAGCTGGAATGACGTACCGTTAGGATGAAGATATGGAAGGAGGTAGCTATAGCTTTAAGAGAAGTAAAGTTCGTGAATTATACTCTTAGGACTTGGATCAATGGACGAACTTGAGGACATTCCCTAGTATTCTCAAGTGTGTAAATAATATGGAGATTGTTTGAATTTCCTATTGTATGAATTGCTTAATTTTTCTACGTGACAGGACCTTCTTCTATATACATGAATAAGGGGGTTCTGCACACTAGTGGATGTTCCAACATCTGTCCTTGTCTAGCCGAGAAAGGAAGGATGTGAGAGATCCTAGCGCCAATAGATACCATTAGGAATCTATTGGGAAATACTATGTCATACCAATGAGTGATGATTTAGGTCAATCATATCCCATGGCGCATGTGCACATTATTCTAATGTGAACAGTTTATTCTAATGCAGTCATGTTACTCCCTTAATTACAACAAATATCATAACTGATAGAGGCATAAGAAAGAAAATGAGCTTCGCATCTACACATTTAAATCTTCGCAGAACTGAGGCAAGGCCAAAATCACAGTAGCCATTTGGACAAGAAGTGAGCAAACCAGGATCAATTCATCTAAGTACTCAAGGAAAGCCGTCAAAGTCAATAATCCAAGATACTAGCGCGTAATACCGGCACAAGATTCCAAACAAACGCTTCCGGCATATATTGAGTGGGAAGAGAGAAGAGCATGAGTGATGCGACTGGCAAATTATGTTCTTTCAGACCATCATGAATGGCTAAGAAGGCAATGGTAAATACAAATTGGATTCTCGACGAAGGCTAGTCTCGACGAACTTGATTTACAAAGCAAGCCAAGGTAGCAGTTCATGGAACCATGAAGCTTTTAGGAAATGTGTGAGACAGAGTACACCCTGGTTAAAGAGTGCGAGCGCACTGCGCGAATGGAATCCTAGAAGCTCGAGAGACATATCGTGGAATTAAAATCTTCTCCCTGCTTTTTCCATGACTGATGAACGCTCGAGAGATATGCAACAAGTAGCTTCGTGAGCCTTCAACGAACTTGCTTGCTCCTTTGTAAATACTACAACAAGAGTCGCCTGCATGGCCTAGACGAATTCGAATCATTCTTTGGCTAACGAATCTAATGTAATGTTCATACATCCTGCTAGACCCTTGATATTAGAATATGGCCAAGCCTATCTGGATCTATGACTCTGAGCTGAACTCCAAGGAAAATTACATGTTTTTCTAAATTAGCGTATTCAGCAATCTAGTCGTGACAACCCTACTTACCCTAGTCCATCAACAGCAATTTGTGTTTTTAGTGAGGAATATCACCCTCTCAACTTAGAGTCATGCTTAAATTCCAATGTGTTCTGCCACATACTTGAGTACGCCAAAGTTTGGTAATATAGCTATTTCCCGGGTTGGATGGTACAGTGGTACACCATCCGGGCCGTCCTCCTAAGTAGATAATGGGTAGCTTGAACACCTACCCCATTCGAGACAGGAGAAAGCTGGTTCGAACCCAGTAAGACCCACACACCACACTCTCGCGGTAGTATTGTACTTGTGGGATAATGAAAGCTCACTCAGATAGCCACAGGTTTTTCACGTTCTTCCCTGTGGTGGATATGAACGGAAGAGGTTACACGCCGTAAGGGTTAACCTCGAGTGGTATCTACAAATAAAATCTGAGTGTGAGTGTTCTAATCGTCAAATTGAGTCATCCTACTTAAAGTACATATCTTTCCATAAACCGGCATGGCATCAAGGCGCAAAATCAGGACAATTGAATAATTCATTTATGTATAGCTTTTTCCCCCCACTTCGCATAGATAAGAATGAGAAAAGCCATCGCTTCAGCGGCAGTAGCTCGACGTGTGGTGTGTTTCAGTCATTGTAGGCGGGTGTGCCTGCAGGTCGGTGCACAGATCAGTGCACTACAATACCTATGCAATGAATGGAATAGAACATAGTAGAATGGAACATGATGGCATGGAATACAATGGTATTAAATGAGTTTAGATCATATGGAAGTAAATGGAAGACTGTAGATAGTTAGATCCCACGTGCTAGGGAGTAGATGATATATATATAGAGGCAGCATCAGGTAGATGGTTTGGAGAAAAGATAAATTGAAATCCGCAAATATCAAGATTCTACACATCTTAAATATTCACGACCATCTATTCACCTCCTTCAAACCGCTCTAAAGGTAGTTCCATAACGTCCTCAACATTCTCATAACCACAACGTGTCACGAAACACTCGACCAAAAAATGCTGTGGTAAAGCTGCTTGTAGCCCTGCGATGTACGCCAAGTGCGAAAGGAGGATTCAAGGGATTGAGAATGAAGTTGCCATAACGGACTATCCTCGACTAGGCTCTCTTAAACCTACTGCTATCATTGAGGGAGTCTTCTCATAACGCGTTAGTACTTCCGCTACATTGTATACCTCGGTCAAAGGTAGAAAATCTCATCATTTTAAAGTATCAATAACCCTTGACCTAGGAAAATAGGTATCGGCAAACCTAGATAATACCTAGCACAATGAGAGGTTCCGCGACGTAAATTTCCTAACCGAAGCCAAAAAGTAAAAATCTCCCAGCGATGAAATAGTTTCAAGACATCTTTTTTATGGCGTCGCTGAAATTGATGAAAGACTCAATGATGATGTGGAGAGGTAAAAACCCGGTCATATTCCTTTGATATTTTTGCCTCTGAGACTTCCATGCATCATTGGTGGACAATGAGATAGTTTTATGAGAGTATGAGGTTAGAATGTCGAGTAGATAAGAGATGATTTAATGAACGAGAATAAAGTCGCTTTTATATGCTTGGATTTAGTCATAAAGCGGTACAATCTCGAGTGAGGGCGGGATGATTAAATTCATAAACTTTTCACTTTGTTGATCGACTCAGCCTATATCATGTAGTTTTTGTTAATTTTGGGCTTTTTACCAGCACTTTATTCCCCCATATGGTTGAAGGCGCTCTCTTGGCCCTTCGTTGACTGAGCCAATAAAGCGGCAGATGTCGTGTTTGCGGCTCGAAGTTTGGCTAGGCCAGCATATGTACTTTGGCACGACAAGTAGTGAAGATATTCTCCTGTACATTATGATATTTCAAAATGTATAATCAATTCACATAGAGTAGATCATGCTTAATTTTCAGTTATCGAAGGCGAACTTCCCATAAAGTTATGACTACCAGTGAGGCGAAACCTCCGGCGAGAAATACCCGTAGCTACTGAATAGTAAAAATCCTAAAATAACTATAATGTGATATTTCGAAAAAGAGCAATCAAAATCTGGCAATAATTTTTCTTCGGATTATCCTTATCACCAACTATTCAAGACGGCCGAGAAGCTCTAGAAAGAAGTGTAATGAATAGAATCTCAGGTAATGAAGATTGGATGATAGCTTCTGCGTCTCTATGACATATATATTCCACCGCCACTAAACACATAGGGAGGAGTGTAATGAATAAAGGCAACCATGACCATACATAGCGGTTTCAAAGGTGAGTATGTTTGTGACGCTACCCACAATTACGAGCAGCTTGTAGTTAATACACACACAGTGCTTCCATTTTGAGATATTTGTGTCGACTCAATCTCGTGTTTTTTGGGTTTATAGCGTGAACTGAGCTGATTATTTATGTGTACTGATATCGTGCACAGGAAAGTCATTTGAGAATTTTGGATCCGGGTCGTCTTCAACTCACACTTACTGTCGATGCAGACAACGAGTACTACGGTTAGCTCGCTGAATCCCTTCCATATATCTTATCTGAAGAACGTGACCAAGGATAACCTGAGATGTGTTTCCTCTTGAGCAAGCTACTTTTCATGCACCTAGATGATTGCCGGTAGGTGAAGAGTTGAGTAACGTGGTTAAAACATACAGTTCGGAAAGGACGCACACTCTCATAACCATGGTCATTTTTTGTACCATGTAATTCGTTTTCGTATTTCTAGCCATGACACATGATCAGTGCTATATGTAAATATTGGATGACCCCATAGGCTTCATAGAAATTCATACTCTATTTTTCATTAAGTCATGCCATGAGATATGTTTGCTTACGCAGAATATTCAACTATCCTGCGTAAGTACCCAGTAGATAGGGGCTTCAAAACCTTGGGTTACCCGAGCAAACCTTTGTCATCATTTAGATGAACACCACGAAAGATGCAGTCGAGAATCTCTGGGTTCAAACCAGCAGTTCCATGTCTCGAGTGTGATAGTTGTCCAAGTTCTCGAGATTCTACTTGGAAGAATGGCCCGGATAATATGCCACTGCATAGTTGAAGTGGGGCTATATTTATAATGTCGCCTATACTCTTATAATCTAAGGTTTGGCGTGTGAAATGCTCTTTAGTTTGCAAAACTCTTTCCCAAGATTCCACTTCACCCCTTTCGAGATTGTACTAATCATTAGCATTGTACCGCCTATCTGGCCTAATCTCCCTGATGTCCATCTCGAGAAACGCCTCACGAAATTTGTGTGCCATAAATTTTGTCCTCCAGCGGGCTTTGATATTGTCGCAAACTTATATTTGGAAGTCGCGAGGCCAGGGAATAGTCCAGGTGAAGTGCGGTCATTGAAATGAAGATGTACTAGTTCGTCCATTTCGAACAGAGTGTTCGGTCAGACTTGATCTTGTCTGGGTCGAAAGATTGATTCTGCAGAGTCTTGAAACATTACCACGTGAAACTACCCCTCTGTATTACAAACTTTTACTAAACTTGCTTCTGGGAGAGCTATTCACTTCTAGGTTCGTAGAGCACAACGCGGGCAGGTGCTCGGTCTTCGTCCCCTTGTAGCCATATTCGTAGGCGCCTTAGATTATGTTTGGTTACTTCCTAATTAATGTCTATATGATAGTTATTTTACACTTTCCTGGAGTGGGAGATAGGTTCAGAATTTATTACTCTACATGCTAGCAATAGTCAGGATCCCTTGACGATAGAATGAAGTGCGGTGATAGAATAGAATAGAATTGAATTGAATTTTATTTATGTCCCTACTGAGTCTATGACTATGAAGGACAGCTAAAACTATCTAAATAGCTCTAAAATTAATGTTAAATTTTTATATTGTTGTGCTTAATTTTTGCCAATAGAAGATGAGGGTCATGCTCTATTTAGGTGCGGTGATAGAATTAACCTGAGAAGCACTCCTACCGACGGCATGAAAGATTACCATTGATTTTTATAATTAGAAAGCTAAATGAAATTCGTATTAAAAAAGGGTACTTCTGGGAAATGCAGGGGTGAGTCAGAAATTGATGAAGCTTAGTCGCTGGTGTTATTATGATATTGATGTTAGTATATCTTTGTGGCGCAATGGAATATGTGATGGATTTATATACAGGGGATCCTGGCTCCAAAAACGACCAGACTGCATTTGCCATGGATCTGGCTTCAAAGTACCCCTTAGAAAGTCATTAAGCGCACGTGCTCTGCGCCGGTAGGTGGTATGCGCACTTTACATATTTCGAGCCTGTCCCACTAGAAGCTCGCGCCTCATAGCGGTCAGGGCGATGAGAAATTGTTTGCGTCGGTTTCAAGCCTATCTGCAACCAAACTTGCATCTGTCCGAATCCCACCTCTGATTGATCCTGATACTAGTAAGTCTAGGCACATGCCGCAAATTTTGTTGGTGTCGTGCGATTAGCTACATCTTTACAACCGAATTGGTCATGGCTGCTGGTCGTAGGGTAGCCGATTTGCGCCGAGACATAGTAAGACATCGGCAATGCTGACTTGTCTCTGGCCACCCACTGCTTTCGCTAATCTCTTATGTCCAAACGATCTCGCAGCTGGTATTACCCGGATGGCCGGGAACTCAGACGTCGGTTAGGATCTATTCTAATAACTGTCTCGCGCACAAGAGGGATTGGCGAGTAATATCTTCTACTCCCACACTTGCTGGCCAGTAAATTAGTCACAGGTCAATAGTAGGAATCTCATTATTCGACTTGGCCAAAGCCTGGATTACGTCTGTACGAATCCCACGCCTCTACCTTTGAACTACCCCGGCCGCTTTAATTTAGATATCTCCCTAACGCATTTAGACTTAATCTTTTTCAGCCCCGCTGAACTGTACTGTCAAGTCGTATCCATTCAGACTATTCAACATATCATCCAATATGCTATCGTTTCGCCTCGCAGCTATTATCATATCTCATGGAATCCTATGCGCTACTTCCCCCTCCCAAACCAAAGGATCGTGCCACCAATTATACAGAATTTACAGAAAAAACACCAAGAAATTAAAGTGAAATCTTATACTCGTCCATCTAATCGGGAGATGATAGAGTTACGTTAGTGCTTCAACCACAGAAATTTCTATTTGAATTAGAGGTATGGTGGTGGCAAGCTCATAGGCATTAAATCTTAGATTAAGCGCCATATTTCATTTCATTCATTTCATTTTTTTTTTAAATTATAATCATCGCTCAAGCTGCTTAAAGTTATTCGTATGCTGATGATGTATAGAGTCGGGGTTTGCGTCATATTTTGAGTCCCATGGATCTTTTGTCGAGATACCAGGGTTTCTTACAGCGGTTGAAGGTTCTAAATTAGATATAGGCAAATAGGCCAAGCTGGGAATGAGGTGGATGCTGCCTTCACTTTTTCGTCTCCGCAATGAGTTTTCTCTGTCTACAATGCTCCCAAGTGAGTTGGTAACAGTTGGAGTGGTTGCCTGGCTCCCCCGGTGTCCACAATAATGCATCACTTGAGGAGGAGTTTGACCTGCTTGCGTGCCGAGAAGATGTTGCGGATATGGATTTAAGTCCTTGGACGAGGTAGAGAAAGTTGATACAATAGGTTGCTGATAGCCAGTTCCGTTTGAGGCTTGTCCAATTGCTTGACCGAGGCTTGATCTTGCCGACTTCCTTGAAACTGATAAAGGGCTTACAGGCTCTTCTAGATTTCCGCTAACACTACTGAGCCCGCCATTGATATATCTTAGAAGTCGTACATATTCCTCTGGGACAAGGCCACTCTCTCGGGTTTTAGGATCTTCAGCTACAAGCCAGCCCTGACCATGACGATAAGACACCCAGATTACCTGCCCTTCAATCAAAGGAAGCTCATTCTCATTCTCACTCGTGAAGTCAAAAAGAGCCACTGCTTTTCCGTGCATCTCTTCATCTGATGATGCTATTGTGAACTGGTAGTCGCGTGAGTATCTTGATTCATTTTGCCGTGCATATGAAGGGGAAGAAGCCACACTGGAATTATCCGATTCACTAGAGTCGTGAATAGCATTATCGGTGTAAGATCTACTCGGTAGGATGCCTGCGAAGTGTGAGTCTCGTTGACCAGGCACATTGTATGCTGTATTTGTATTATTGCGCGTAGATTCAGATGGATGCGCATTCGATTCATTTCCGGTGTTGCTATCTTCGTTACCTTGATTCTTGTAGTAGTGTTTATTTCCTTCATCAGACGGCGCTAGAAATATTCTTCTTTCATTGTCAAATTTTGAATGGTTTGATGAATTTGTTACATTATCTGTAGTCTCTCTCCTTGAACGTCTTCTTGTACTGTAGGGTGAGTTTGGAGATCGATGTTTCCGATGCCGCGAGCTCACAACGACTGGACTTTGAAGATCTTCATCTTCACTCCATGGCGGACCATCACCGAAATGTATTGGTGCTAATTGGTCATCTTTACGTAATCTTTCTTCATACGGCCATTTCTTCCATTTGTCTCTCACGTCCCAAAGTGGGACTGGGTCAGAAAGGTCTTGGGCTTCATCGCTAATGGGTGAAGAACGGCCAGAGGGAGGATGATCTGATTCAAGCGGAGGACCATAGTGCATCGGGTGCGAAGAAGAGTATGCAAAATCACGAACTGTAGTGTGTGGCCAGGCTTGACAGGATGTAGGTGTGGTGTGTGGATTAACTGATGGTGGAGGAGTTGTACTCGCTGGGTAATCCGATAGCTTGTGGTTGGAGGCATTAGAGTGACGCGGAAAAGTTGAGCAACGATATGGGGTTGACATGATCGAAGGCGTTAATGATTGGTGATCAGGGTGTGATGGTGTTGTGAAAGTAGTAGTGGACGACGATGTGTGGAAGGATGGTGACATGACGGCAGGGATTTTCGGGTGATGTTTGACAGTAGCGTTTTCAATCTGAAGTAAACTGTTTCTAGTGCCCAATTGGGATATCAGTTTGTTAGAAGAGCTGAAGCCTGGTACCACGCTTCGAAATACACGGACTCCAACGAATATCTGTCTGCAAGAATTTATATTCGAGAATTTCGAAATAAGTATCAATTGTCAATTGTGACTAGCGATACGAACTAGGTGTGAAAACTGATTGAGAGATCGTATGCCTGGGGTGGCGTATGCAAGGCGGGTTTAGTGTTGCTGATGGGGTTATTCTAAGATGATATTGTTGTTTAGAGTAAGGAGGGTGGGAAGTGGGGGAGAATTGGATTGATGGCTTAATGCATTACCTTTCTTTTGGCAAACCGTCGACCCCACTAAAATCACGATGACCAATGGCCGATCAGAGCTCTTGTCCATGCACTAGAGCAGCAGCGATATTGGCTCTGCCGTTTTTTAATTATTAGGCAGAAGAGAACTTGGCCGTTCTAAAAATTCCGGATTGTTGTCGACATTACGAGTTGAGTGGGTGGATATTGGGGTGTCGATAGGGTACTCCTTGCGACATAGGTATAATAGAAGGTTCGGAGAAGGGTGAAGGACGCTCGTGACTACAATACTAGCTAAAACAATTCCTTAAAATATGACACTAGCAGTGGTTACAGTATTAGACAGGCCTGTTATTACCGATAATGATGATGATGCCAGTGGACATAGGCTCTAATAGGCTAAAACCATAAACTGGGGCCTTGAAATAACCTAAATTAACGAGGTAGCTACGTGTGGCGAATGATGTGATTTTTTGGACCAATTGAGTCTAAGACTATATTGGGATGTGTAGTACGGGCGGCGATATTTACGTCAGGACGCAATTGAATTAGTTTGGCCGAAAGTAGCGCTTCCTGCTGACCGATCGATATTTTCCTGGTTCACGAGCCTTAAATTAACCGTTGGAAAAGTGTGTCCCGCTGTCCTTCTGGCTATAGAGAATACAAATCACGTAATCCAATAAAGTTGAATTTGAAAAAATAACAGCGACATTTATCTCCAAGAACCCACAGTAAGCCCACAGACTTTTTCAGGGAATCTTGAAACAACTCGGGTCTCAGATGCCTGCTCAGTGTCCAAGGAAGATCCTGCAGGCGGCAAGCGCAAAAGGGGGCTCGTGCCAAGGACCAGGCTTTATTTTTGGAGAACATCTTAGCATGGACCAGAGGCCAAGCAACGGAGATTTACAACTATACCAACGATTTGGCGGACACACGGACTGCCTTACACTTCAATGTTCAATGTTCAATCACTCACATCAACCGATGAAGCCATTTTCAAACATGTACGCGGCTAAATGCAGAGCACTTCATCGTCCCTCGCACATGTGGTGACGATAGATTAATATTGCATGCCAGGCGCGCTCATCACGGGCTTGGTGTCATCAAATCGAACATCATCCACAATCGATCATGGAATCTATCACAAACAAAAATATCGAGTAGAATAGATGAAAGTTGAAAAGTGCCAAGCAATAATCTCTCTCTAAAGGCAACTAGTTGAGCCATGGTCCTCATGAGCCGCTATCCGGAGATTTTCGCGCTACGATTACCATTTTACCAGCCGAAATTAAGTGTGACAAAAGCATGTTTTGAGTAGGACTTACATTAGTAATATTATTGTCACATCAGACACTAGGAGTAGATGAGCATCCATCGGACTGGTTTGAATATCACTGTACAATATTTTATCCCATTAGTGATTGAATGTGTTAGTCTTGAAGCTAAGTGAAGAACTCAACCCAGAGAGAGGAGCTAATCTCGTAAGGAAGCTCATGGGAAGAATAATATATATCCACCGCCACCGTCACTACTCGTAGATCCTTAATGCAAACGTCTACATTACAGTGGCGTTTGAAGAGTTTTCAAGTCATCTACTATTTCAAAATCCTAGATGAAATTGCTCTCCAGCCATTCTAACTTAGATGCCAACAGTGTACAATGGAACCCACGACGACGTAGGAGAACCTACTAAATTTAATCTCATTTCCTTTCGTGGTGTAAAAGCCCAGAAATCAATTCCAAGGAAAATTATGGAAGGCCTACGAACAGTTTCTGATGAGTTAATGAGTGCAGATGTTGGACCCATCCTTAGTCCTCAGGTACATATTGGAGAGGCGAAAATGGTAATTAATAACCCGACTTGGGTAGAACAAACCTAATACACGACGGGGGTGCATTCATCAAATTGGAACGATGATCTAGAAATTATTTATCCGGCAGGTATTTGTTTCATCTGCTCACATTATACCCTTGCCTATCTAGTGGGTAGCAAAAGAGCGAGCTTGTGTATTTGTTGAGCAGCAGGATAAAATATATTTTGAAAATTCGCCATCGCAATCGGTGAGTTTGTTTATTGTACAACTTGAATCTATGACTATCTAGCACATTGGGATCCTCTCTGACCCAGGCCACACCTTGTACAGTGCTCCTATCCTCATTTGTTACTTGAAAGATCATTGATATATTCCCCTTGATGAATAGCCATTCAGCTCAGTATTTACCCGTGGAATTCAGCCACCTTTTCCACGGAACCTTCTACCCAAAAAAAATAAAATGGTAGCAATGGAAACTGCGTGCGCGGGAAAAAGTCTCAAAAAACCTGCAGCCCCAGCCAGGCGAGGCCTAGACACCGGGACTACATGAGGTGCGCATATTCATCTATATCTCCCTTCTTTGTAACAGTCGAGGCCGACTTGATCCAATCCACCATCTCCGTATCGGGTGCTGGGTACGCTCCGGAAACTCATCGGATGGCTTTTCCTCCATAATCAAGGGTGGATGATGAGTAGGGCTCCGACCCTACCATCTGATCTGATCGTGGTTAGCTTCATGATAGTGGTGATAGGGGAATGTGTTGAGAGATGAAGACGATACAGACCGCGAAAGCGATTGGGAATCCTCTTCGAAGTGAGGACTTTGTTACTCAATCTCGGCTCTGCAGACTCTACAGTGAGAGCTGGAGGTTCGTAGGGGACACCACTGACAGGTGTTGAGAATAGTCCCCCTGTTACAGTGTTTATTGTCCTAGAAAGTCTACAACTATGTAAGGACATGTAGGTCCTTTCTACCTACAGGCCGGGAGTATCTATGCCTCGAGTAGTGTACTCCCTCCTTTGCCTCCCTCACGACTTCTTTCCAGCAGTAATACCCCCACAGGTCTTCATTCGACTATACACTAAGAGGAGCCGTTATCCCGTCATTATCTCCCCTCTCCAGCCAACGAAGCGATGGCCATTTTCGGGTGTGTAGCTGCTGGGAAAAGTCTCAAAAAGAACCACTGAGTGCCGGGCTCTCCTATGATGAAGAGGCTGGTCAGCCGGGCGCAGCAGACCTGTGTATATCTAATAGCGTCTCTCAACCATCCTAGCCTCCTCCTTACTCCTCCCTTGATTCATGCCGCAGGACAAACCAAAGGTCGTGAAAGGGTGTCAGAAAAGTCTTGGTCGAGAGTGACTATCGTGAAGGAGCCTAGCCTAGCATCCAAAAGTCGTTACGAACGTGGGTTGTCGAGTAACTCATGTATTTCAGATGCCCTCCTGGCTAGTAGATTCGGAAGATAAGATTAGTAGGGACGATATGATTGACGAGTCGAAATCTGCTTTTCTTGAGGGCGGAAGGGTCTTTTACTTTGCTTTCGTGGGCTTTTTGTTCGCCCGCCGGTGGGTAGCACATGTTGTGATATAACGAGGGCTTCTCTGACTACCGTTGTAGCGTTTAGTGTCGCATTATCTTTCCTCATTCCCAGCATCATTATCATTGTCTTGATCGTCATATGTGTTATCGGAAGCGTATCTTTGACGGAGGGGGAGATAACTCGGTTCAAAATTGATAAGGTGTTGCTCAATCTCGGATCTGCAGACTCTATAGTGAGAGCTGGAGGTTCGTAGGTGACACCACTGACAGGTTTTGAGAATAGTCCCCGTTAATCAGACAGTATGATGGCTGATAGCTTAGCAAGTTTAGACTTCGCATCTTGCCATGAACAGTGCCACGTGTACAAGTTGAACGGCCCCTCTAACGTACAAGAAACTCATGTTGTGAACTTCATTGAGAATTCCACTCGGGTTTGTCCATTTGAACAGAGCAACGTACCCTCCATGACGACCTATCAAAGGGAAGTTTCAAAATCTTCTTTACCCAATCATGCTTTCGTCATCAATGTACACCTGCGCCATGGGAAGTGTCGTCGAGTAGTGCTGGATTTTGACTAATTATCTCTTCTCTTAAGTGGGCTAGGTGTCCAAGCTTTCCCAACTAAACCTGTGAGACCAGCCCAGATAGTTTACTACTGAGCCATCCAGCCACGACCGTTCTCACGGAGTCACCTGCTCTCTCGAAGTCGAAGTCTTTATGCGCATAATGCTCTTCAATTTGAAGATTCCTAGGCAAAATTGAATTACCACCGCTTTCAAGACAGAATCAATCCTCGATTCGCACCCATCAACATGCACTGAAGCCAATCAAGTCCTTGCCAGATATCTATTTCGCTAAATTTGTGAGTTGCGGTTGGATTCATGCAATTATCCGTAAAGTCATTATCGTACAATCGGAGGTCAGTACAGGCTACAGACTGAGTCAATGAGAAGTATGGCGCTTGAGTGGTGGATTTATTCGATCGTCAAGACCCGTTGATTCTTGAAGCCTCCTTAGGCCCACACTTAAAACCCCTGAAGCAGTTCTAGCTCTGGATTTTACGCGGTCACAAAAATATCACTGGTGAATATCTAGTACGACTGAGCAGATAAATCGTCAAGAAATTCCCAGCAATAATTGTGATACTAACAACCCATCACTGTAGCACTTGGACTATTATTTCAATACCTTCCATTGACTTTTTTTTTAATTCCTATTTACATCCTATGTAGGTCTGAAAATATAGCAGCATGTGCTTCAGAAGATGCATCTCCAAATTTTTTTCAAACTTCAATA